AGTTTGGGAGGGATAGCGTCATCTACCTTGGGCACCAGTTCTCTGATGCAGGTCTAGAGTCTGAGGCAACCAAGGTTGAGGTCATCCACAATTAGCCTCAATCGGTGAATGTCCGCGAGTTGCGTTCTTTTCTTGGTCTTGCGTCGTACTACCGTAAGTTTGTGCCTAAATTTCTATCATCGCCCGTCCGCTGTCTAGATTGACCAGCAAGAATGTGTCCTACATATGGGATGGGGAATGCACGACAGCCTTCCAAGCACTAAAGGAGGCTTTGGTAAGTCATCCGGTCCTCCGCATTGCAGATCCCAAACTCACATTCGTAGTAACTACGGATGCCAGTTTGTATGGGATTTGCTGCAGTGCAGCAACAAGATGACGGCGACGGTTTACGACCGCTAGAATTTTACAGCAAACGTATGCCTAGTCACAAGGTAGCTGCCTCCACTTACATGCGGGAACTCTATGCCTTGAGAGAGGCACTAGACCACTGGTAGCACTACCTCTTGGGTCGCCATTTCAAAGTGTTCTCAGACCACGAGACATTGAAATGGGTTCAGACACAGAAAAATCCCTCAACTACACTGACCCGCTGGTTGCATGAGATTGCTGTGTATGATTTTGAGATTAAGCACAAGAAAGGTTGTTATAATCGAGTTGCGGATGCTTTGTCGCGCCACCCCAAGTACATGACTTGCCTTGTGGGTTCCTACGACCTGCGTAAAAATCTGAAGGAGGAACTCATAGAGCATACTGCCAAGGATCCGGAACTCGATCCTATCCTTGAGCAGATTCAGGCTGACCCTAGCAGTCAGCCTGAGTAAGGGCATTCTCTTCCGACGTTATGGGAAGCATGATCGATTGTGTGTGCCCAACCATGAGCCGATCATGACTCACTTCTTGGATTTGGCTCATGGCCGGAGTGGACATTTCGGTGTTGAGAAGACATACGGAAATCTGTTAGAAAAATTCGTATGGCCTGGAATAAAAAGGATGGCACAAAGGTTTGTGGCTGAGTGTGAAGTTTGTCAACGCATCAAACCGTCTTGACAGAAGCCCTATGGGCTGCTGCACCCTCTTCCTATCCCTGATGGCCCGGGTGAGTTTGTTTCCATTGACTTCACAGACATGGGGAAAAAGAGCAGAAACGGTTATTCGCAAGTAATGGTGATCGTCGATCGTTTTTCCAAATTTCTGAATCTAATCCCATTACCACCTCACGCCCCAACTGACCTTGTGATCGAAGAATTTAACAAAAGGTACATCCTGCAGTGCGGTCCCCCGAAGACTCTTGTGAGTGATCGGGATACCAGGTTCATAAGTGCAGATTGGAAGGACTTCACCTCCCAGACCTACGACATGAAACTCAAGATGAAGTTTGGTCGACACCCCGAAGCCAATGGACTGGCCGAGGAGATCAACCAGACCTTGATCCAACTTCTCAGGGCTCTTATCGTGCCTGACCAGAACTCTTGGGATGAGTTGCCGATTGTGCAGGGGTTGTCCAACAACTCCATCCACTCCTCCACCAGGATGACGCCTAACCGGCTGCATCTTGGATGAAAAATCCGCAATCCTTTATCTTATCTGTTCCCGAACAGCCACCTGGCCTAACACCTGGCCAGCCAGGCTACAGCGCTAAGTATGATCGTTTGCTCAAAGTTGTTGTCGCAGCTATGGAAAGGCGACGCAGTGCCATGATTAAGAACGCAAACAAAAAGCGCCAACCTGATCCTTTCACAATGGGAAGTTATGTCTGGGTCAAGATGTCTGAGTTTTCTGAAGAAGAAGGCGTATCACGGAAACTTCTTCCTCAGTACTACGGCCCTTGGCAGGTGCTGAATCGAGTAGGTAATGATTCCTTCGGTCCTTCGTACACAATTGATGTGCCTGCTCATCTGCGCACAGACCCAGTCTTTCACGCATCGAAGTTATTTCCGTATGAGCCACCTGAGACATTCAAGTACTGAGAATCGATGATTCCCCGCGCAATCAATAGCAGTCACGAGGTTGATAGAATCGTCGAGCACAGTGGAAAGGGGAGAAACAAACAGTACAAAGTGCATTTTCTGTACCACCCACTGAATAGTGCATTTTCTGCACCACCCACTGAATGACTTCTACTGGATTGCTAAGAAAGACCTACTGCAGAGTGAACCTCGCGTCGTTAACGCCTATGAACGATTGATCAGTTCTGAACAGCAACCAAAATTCACTGCTATCCTGACTCCTACGGAACACACCCGATCTCTCTTTGCTATCTACGCCTATGATGCATTATGCAAGGACTCTGATTGAGTTACTCGCTCGAAGGGACCTCGCTCTTGAGGGGGGGGTAGTGTAATGACCCGTTATAACACAGACTGAGAACACTGCTGATTTCTGAAGTTCTGCTGATGGAATGGATGCATTGCTGAGATTCCCGCATTCTG